CCTAGCGCCGCCTCAGGCCATGAGCACGAGATGAGGTGGGAGTAGGCCTCCGAGGTGAGTGTCTCGTGACGTCTGCATGATTGAGAAGCTCGACCACCTCGAGCTCCACCAGGAATACGGCCAGAGCGTTGCGATAGGCAGTGACGGCGGCGTAATCAGTCAGGAGAACAGAGCGATGGCCCGAATTGTAAGGTCATGTCATTTTGTATGATTGAGTAAATCTATATTTATACCTAATAATAAAAGGCAAAATTTCTACCTATTTTTTTATCTGGCCTCCTTAACTAACTCCGTGAATATGGAAACTGTCGATGTTCCTACTTGCCTACAGCTTTTTTTTATATGACATACATTTCTTCTGGAGGTAACCGACAGATAGGAATTCTCATCCAAATAATATATCTCTCTGATCATGTTTGATATGGTGTATGAGTAACCTCAATAGGAATCCTAATCCAAATAGCGTTTTTTTCGTGTCCATCCCGGTTTTCATTTTTCCCTCGTCACGTTTCCATCGTACTATTTTCTTCTTTTCCATGCCTGGCTTCAGTTTCAGTCTAACCAAAGTTCTGATCCTAATCAACATGAATCAAAATCATATGTAGTTATGTATCCCGACGCATAAAAAAATCGAGAAAAAAAACAAGAGCCGAATCCAATGTATATATATATATACCACCTAATACGATCGGAAACAAAGAACCCTCAAGTCGAGCCACTGCATGGTGATGATGACTCGACCTGCTAGAGCCATGACGCAGTCAAAGCGGACCTGCCAGCCATGGCAAGGCAGCCTACCTCGATAACGCGACGACAACAATGGTGAGGCTGCCTGTGATTGCGCAGGCTCCGAGCGCTCGCCGGCGGCGGCCACTACGTCAAATATCATTTCCAGGGGCGGCTACAGTGCATTTGTAGGGGCGGTTCGGCGAGCCGCCCCTACGTAAGGGTTTTTATAAATCATATATTTGTAGGGGTGGTTCCCAGACCGCTCCTATAAATCGATTTGTAGGGACGGTTGGTACTGTAGCTGCCCCTATAAATCGGGGCGGTCTGGGAACACCAGCCGCCCCTACAAATCGATTTGTAGGGGCGGCTACAGTACCAACCGCCCCTACAAATCATTTTTCCGTCAAAAAAAATTAAATTTACAATTCAAATTGGACCAGAACATATATTTTTCAATTAGCATTAAAGATAAACAAGATCACTAAATTCGTATAGTAATATTTCAGAGCAAATCAATTGAGACCTATGAACTACAGGAAGTAGTAAAAGATTCACTGTACAGTTATGTAGAAGTTTACATGAGCTCTCTAGTCATATGCGATATTATGCATCAAAATGACAGCATATGGCCAGGTAATCAAGGTCCTATTCTCTTCAGAACTAGCACACATTTCCAACATATGGGTTTTCCAAGAGAACTATAAACTCAAGATACAAATCAGGAAGGAACTGATCTTATCCAAACTATAAACATGGCATAGTTTCAGTCTTGCAAGTCATATTACCTACATAAATATTGATACTGTGAGGAGTGGTTTGTCTCCCACCTTTAGACGTCTAGCCTGCAAAAGAAAAGAAAACCAACTCAGTAAGCAAAGCAAAGACTGTTGTACTTTTTTGAAGCAACCTAGATACAGGTGCATATGCATTACAACGCATAGTTACATTTAAATATCAATATATGCCGTAGGAACAATTTTTTAAGAGCAGGAAGATAAAAAAAATAGTTGTTTTCATATGCAAACATGACAACCAAACTCAAATCAAGACATAGCAGACAAACACAACGGCATGGATTATAGAGGCCCAAACTTTCTGCTCTTGCTCTACACGCATCAGAACCTGCGGGAGCGCGTGACGAAGATGAGTGCCTGGCTGATGATGCTTACCTGCAGGTACAACGCCGACATCATCTCCTCCCGGCTGCCGTGCAGCGACCTCACGCCGAATGTGTTCTGTCGATCGGCCGGAGCAATGCAAACAAAGGTAGGTTCTTATCTTACTGGAAGAGAAGAGAATTTGATGGCCCAGAAATCGGCCGCCGGCCGGAGCAATGTAAACAAAGCTAGTGGCTAGTGCCTAGCTTTTTACCATGAAGAAGTCGGTGCTGCGCATGGCCCAGAAGAAGATGACGGTCATGACGGCGAGGTAGGTGCCGTAGGGGATATCCAATGTTTTGCCTGAAGGGGAAAACAGAAGAAGATATCACTAGAACTAAGAATTCAGAGGGGATATACACTATTGTATAGGAGAAACTACTTACAGCAATGCCATCATTCTCGTCTTTTAGAAGGTCTAAGAACATTGGGTCAGCAAGGTCTAAGAAGCATCTGTACCATAGAAAAGGATAATGCTCTTAACAGTTTTGGACTAGATAATTCACTCATAGCTTCTAGGCCAATTCATTCTGAAGATTACCTCAGGAGCAGCGCTCTTCTGGATTGTAGCTATACTACTGCCAATAAGAGTTCCAGAACTTCTTTCCACCTTTTCCAGTGCCACCACCAACACTGGGTAAAATTCAGAGTGATGAGGAACAAAGTTGTTGAAATCAATACATTATAGTTGAACAAAAACCAATAATGCATGGTTGAATGACAAAAGACACTTATCTAAATCAAGCCATAAAATCTGGTAGTCTCCAATAAATATCAATCACAACTGATTCATATTATGTGCAGTATTGGAACTCAAAATGAAGAGTTCTTTACCAAAAGAATCTGAATAGTGTGCCAACTGTATACTCCATGTTAGTTTCAAAAAAAACTGTATACTCCATGTTCACAAATAAAAAGTGAGTAACTGTATACAGGATAAACAATCAAGGCCAGCAGGGACCAGGTCATGTATGTATGCTATACATTACAGAAATCTCACATATTGTAAGAATGTAAGGAATGCACATCACATGAAAGTAGAAACAATAATTTAATAATGCCATAGTGCACCTCACTCATCAGCTAATCAGCAGAAAAAATTGTTTGGGTTATATAAAAATCCTGAAGGAGAAATATCAACAGGCTTACTTGGCAAATTCATAAGGGATAGGAACAGAGGAAGAAAAGATCCTGCTGACATCATTAACAGAAGTACTTCCGCAAACTTATTCTCCAGTCTAGAATGTTAGCAAACAAATTAGGTAGTTCAACAGGATTGCTATTGAATATTTATGCTACCAGTACCAAGTCATTTAAAGGAAACATAGATGACAGATATAGGCTAAGTTCATGACAATAAGAGCACATACCTCTCACCATTTGATGCAATAAGCTTTAACAACAATGGATAGAACTGTGTATAAACAAGAATACACAAGCATTGGCATGTGCTAACATGATTAAGTCGAATTTGGAAAATAGGAAGAGAAGAGAGAAATATTTTATAAAGAATCTTACAATAGTTGGTTGAGTAGCTTATCATAGAAATATGGTTTTTTCTGTTTTTTCTCTACCATTCTCATAAAAGATTAATACATATGCTATAAAACAAACAATGAAGCTGGATTTATATCTTTCAAAGCAGTGGTATGCAACAACATGAATAATAGGAGCTACATGTGGAATTTGCCAGTTCCAAGTAAGTAAACATTTGAAGTGTTGGCACCTGTGGAATCAAATTGGGAAAGGAGCTAAGGATCTTTGTCTTGTTTGTTACAAGGAATTCAACCGTGCACTCTGCAACAATAGGATCTGCGAACTCCCTATTTACAAGAAAAAAAGTTGAGTATCTTAGATGCTTGTGGTAGCAATCCAACGATGGTATACAGATCAAGAGAAAAACATAGAAAACAACATTACCTACTTAAGAAAGAGCGGAAGAAGGTTTTCAAGCTACCATCAGCATCGTGCAAGACCGCCTCCCCAAAATCCAGGAAGAATTGCAGGATGGTCTGGTACGAAAAAATACAGAACACTAAATTAGTTATAAGTTTGGCAAACTCTTTACAACGAATCAACAATAAGTGATTTGCCACCAACAGCTATGCAAGTAATCCATTGTTCGGTGAATCAGGGAGTAAGGACATTATAATCATTCAGTTAACACTAGATTAAAGTCTCTCACCCAAAGACTAGACATACGGACCACAACGACAGGGGAGATCAAAACCCTAAACCAATCTCGAGCCCGGACCACAACGAACACAACTACGAAGCCCCACCCCCAAGACCAAATCACCAAAGAACCCTAGATCCACGAGATCAGAGAGATCCAAACGGGGGTCGAGGGACGCACCTAGGGTTTCATGGAGCAGACGAGATGTGCGGCCTAGGGTCGAATGAGAGTGCTTGGCCTTGCCCTTGTAGATGTTGTAGTGGTGAAGACCCTCCCGTCCTGCTGGCGTCGTTGAGGCGCGCGCCGTGCCCGCCTCCTCCTGTGGCGGCGGCGGGCCCGGGGTCAAGTAGTCGGAGTGGCGGGGGACGGACGGGCACGCTGGGAGCGCGGCGGCCGGACTTCTGGAGGAGGCAACGAGCGGGGCTAGTAGGGTCTGGCGCTGGGGGGACTGGGGTGGTGGTGTCTGGCGGAGCGCTTGATCGGGCGGTGGCGAGGTGAGCGAGAGGTAACTGCTTTTTTTCCTTTTCCCGATGAGTAGGGGGAGAGGTGGGAGATATTTGTTGTACAGGTGATTTGTAGGGGCGGCTGGTGATTGAGCCACCCCTACAAATCGTAACACCATGGGTGGCTGGTGAGTGAGCTGCCCCTACAAATCGACCCTATTTATAGGGGTGGCTCGTATTATTAGCCGCCTCTACTGTGCTATTTGTATGGGCGGCTGGTCTAATGGCTCCCGAGCACGCCACTGTAGGGGCGGCTTCATCACCAGCCGCCCCTAAAAAAAAATTGTCTCATTACTACAAACCGTTTTTCACGTAGTGGGCCGAGGCTTTGCCTTGCCCATGCACACCAGCCCACGGCAGGATGTCGAGCTCACCCACAGCGGCCAGGGATGGGGCTAGACCGCTAGAGGTCGCCACCGCAGAGGCCGTCGCCCTATGGCCGCGTCCGTGGCCGTCTGCGCTCGAACTTGCCTGGTTCTTGTGCAGAGCTCCGGCTGCCGAGCTTTCTTGCCTGTAGCTGCTGGTGAGCTCTGTATTGGCCGCGCTGTCGGGGCCGGGTACGCACCAGGCTCACGGTGACGCACATGAGCAACACAGGTCGGACACATTACAAAATTTAATATTCTAAGACGTATTAGAATACATGATATAAATCTCTGAGCTTTAATTAAATTGTTCTCATGGGCGCGTAGTAATTTGTACGTTCTGTTGCAACGGATAAACATGTTTGCTAGTGAATATTAATTCATGAAATGGCATTGAGTGTTTTACGAGGACAATTCTGCAAAGTCTATATGTTTAATGGTATTTGGCCCACCTACCAGGAGGATAAATACCCAATTTTATTTATCATATATATATATATAATAAAAAAAAATATATATATAAATTCATCTGGTTCGGCAATCTCCATCTTCACCGGCGTCTGGCGGCCGCCGGCTGGTACGCTCCGCTTCACCCTCCATTCCAGCGGCGCGCGCGCTCATCGCCTATCTGCTTCTCCGTTCGCAGCGGCATGGAGCGCCCGAAGAAGAACGCGGCGGCTGGCCTTCCCGACGACCCCCTGGTGGAGATCCTCTCCCGTCTCCCCGTCAAAGAGCTCCACCGATCCAAGTGCGTCTCCAAACGCTGGCGCGATCTCGTCACGGACCCTCTCCACCGCAAGAAGCTCCCCCAAACCCTCCACGGGTTCTTCCCTTCCTACGCGAGGGAGTTGGGATCTGCTTTTCATCAATCGGTTTGGGGGATCCCCGTCTCCGGTCGATCCTGCCTCCCCCTTCCTCAAGAAGCTGCCTCCCCCTTCATCAATCTGGTTCTCGGCGTCCTGCAATGGGCTCCTCTTTAATCACAGCACCAGTCTTAGCGAGTTCGGTTATATTGTGTTCAACCCCGCCACACAGCAGTGGTCGGCCTTGCCCAGCGACCGTACTCCGGCGGATAGGCATATTCAATGGAACCATACCTGTTTGGTCTTCGACCCAGCCGTCTCCCCCCACTTCCGTTTGGTTATCCTCAGAAACTACAGGGAGGAGGGGAGCCTGGCAACAGTGCACTCCTACTCCTCAGAAACTAGGCTGTGGAGGCACACCCAGATTGACTGGGCTGACAAAGTTAAGCAGCTAGGATATTGGAATTTGTGGCATCCTCAGATCAGGGGCACTCCTGCTTATGCTGCCCTGTTGAACAGCATGCTGTATCTGCTCTTGACTGATAATCAGATCGCTGAGGTGGATTTGGAAGGGAAGACAAAAAGGGTCATCCCAGCTCCGTCTTCGGTGGGTAAGTGGGTTCATGGCTGTAGTTCAGTTTTCATTGGTCAATCCCAAGGGCGCCTATATTGCATCAATGAAGAACAATGGCCACGTCATATCCCCTCTGAACTGTCCAATCGTGTTTATAAAAGACACTCCAATGATCATTCTAATCTACTGTCAATCTGGGTTCTTGAGGACTATGATACACAAAAATGGGTCCTTAAGCTCAGTGTGAGCTATTTACGTCTGTTTGGATGCATTTATTACAGTGTAGGTGGTCTTGGTTCCAATGTGGTTGCCATTCATCCAGACAACAACGATTTGGTGTTCATTGTTCTCTCTGGGGAGCACAAACTGATATCATATGGTTTGAATAGCAAGGAAGTGCCGAAGTGCATACTGTTAGCACATTACAGGAATCTTTGCAGTTTCCTCCTTATGTTCCTTGCTTCTTGGACTTCTTATCGGTCGCACATCATGAAGAGAAACTAGGGGTGAGCCAGCGAGATAAGCGTGAAGGACGTCGCCAGGGCAGGTGAGCATGCAGTGGCCATTTATCACTCAGGGCACAGGGCAGATAGCGCGGAGGTGGGCAAAGCGAACCCTGTAGCAGCCGCTAAGTTTTTGCAGTCGCTCTAGCATCCAAAGCTTTTGTATTTGCTTATGAACTACATGTGCACTTACTTGACCTGTCTAGTTTTGTAGACAATTTTTTCCTATATATATGGTGCTCCATTATGTACCTGTCATATTGTTTCATTCCTTACCCTGTTTCTTGCGACTTCTTATCCAATTATTACTGCAAGCAACTTCTACTACTGCAAGATAGCCAATTGAAAGCTGAGATTTGTTTGTAAGCTTATTTTAGATATGCGGCCTTAGTAAGGGCCTCTTTGGCACGGCTTATGTCGGCTTCGGCTTCATCTATTTTGTGTAAATCGAAGCACTGTAGCGTGAAGCCGTTTTGTAAGCCGGGGTTAAAATGAACTAGAAGCCGGGAAAAGCCAGTTTTTCTGGCTTCACCGGCTTTGGCTTCACCGGTGAAGCCGTTTTGGATGAGCCGTGCCAAAGGGGGCTTAAGTGTTGAAGTGACCCAAAAAAAAGGGAAAAAAAAAGAGGTAGAAAATTTTAATGACTTATGCAGTTTTGTTTCAAGTCATATGTTTCAAATGCTATATGTGATGTTTCCAGAATTGAAATCATCTTATACACTGGTCTCTTTCTTCTTAGTCCTTTAAGTTTCTAGTGAGTGACTGGCTGTCTGCGAACTATATATTTGTTTTAATCTTCTTTCGGTCCTATGTTTATGCTGAAGTAATGAACTAAATGTAGCATTCAGATAGTTTGCCAACAATGCATGCTATTGAAAGTTCAGTACCCTCAAAAGCCACCTACGTGATAATATGTCATGTATAGTTTGCTGAAAAAATTTCCATTATGCGCAGCTGAATAATAGCTGCCATGTTGTAATGAGGATAGTTTCGGCAGATCATTGCTTTGTTGTTGATGCTCGTTCAAGATGTGTTGTCTATAACATATTATATTTATCTGCAGCCATTCTTTTTTGTTATAGCAGCAGTCAACAGTTTAAATTTGTATTTGTAGCCTGTACAAGTTAGCTCTGTCCACAGCATGGCACTTGAGAATTTTTAAGGTGACTGATAGTTTGTTTTTATAAGCTCCAAATCGTGCATCTTGTTCAGATAAAAGTAGGATCCGATCTAAGCTAGCTAATTAGGACTTTAGGATGCAAAAACCTGAAAAGTTCAGGAAACAGATTTGATAAAAGGAACCACTGCATTTTTCATGTGTTGTTGAAATGAACATGATGCTATCAATTATCAAATTTACAATTGCCAAGTCCATCTCAAGTTCAAAGCTACATGTGATAGTGATACTATTCTAGCATGAACTCCGTAGCAATTAAATCTCTGAAGTCAACAGCTAGCTTATGAATTAGAGCTTTAGAAGGATCAAATTGTCTACTCTGTATCCTTCAATTTGCTTCCTTTCCCTCTGACAGAGTGACAGAGGTGACCTCCTGTGTTGGAAGCTTACCTGATACATGGGCTACCGAATCAGGAAGGTCTTGCTCGTTTTGATTACTGGCTGCCATGATAGTTGGGCTACCGAATCAGGAAGGTCTTCCTCGTTTTGATTACTGGCTGCCATGATAGTTGGGCTACCGAATCAGGAAGGTCTTCCTCGTTTTGATTACTGGCTGCCATTTCAATAATCAGCATCCACTGAAAGCATTGCTGTCTTTAACTTAGACTAGGAAATTCTTATAACATCCACTGAATGCTGATGCCTCTGCAAGAATGTGGAGGATACATGATGATTGAGTCTAAGTTAACTACTAGTAAATAGGGATCTATGTTTTTATTTGCCCTCATCTATCTTCTTGATTCGATCCTCCGTATGCCGTATGCCATGATAAATTTCTGCAATTTACCACTGCCTGCTGGGATGGTTGAATATTTGTCTCTGATTTTTCTCCTCTATAAGAGTTTCATTCTGTGTATGCTTGATATGAGATTGAGTGCTTCCGGTTTTCTTGGGATGTCATGAGACCATAAGCGTTCCTTGTGTTCATCGGTGGGGCGGGTTCCCAAGGTGGTCTGTCTGGAATGTTAGTGATTAGAATAGAATCTGGTGCTCAGGATTTCTTAGAAATCCCCATCTCCACGCTTTCAGTTAGCATGGATGATGGATGAGCAGCACCTGGCTTTGTAAGTGCATACAAATTTGCTTATCCTGCTTTGTTGTACTACTGCAGCTGTGTGATTCTGTTTGACATATCTAGGCACAACTGCACTTGGTCTTGCCCATTTTTGGGATTTAACACACAATTTTAGCATGTCCTACATGCCGACCTGTATCTGTTTTTATTACAAAATCACAAAGCTTTCTTCATCATCTTAAAAAATCATCATGAGTCATGCCTTAGTTGTCCTTCCTTTTTTCAAGAATTGGACCCCTTTTTCAGTAGGACTCTGCTCGCTTGCATAGTTGCATATCCGATTGTGTCTTCACCTTGAATCTAAATTATTGACTGGGCGGTCATTTTCTATTGAAGCATTAGCTAAGCACATAAGTCTTTACCGTGGAGCGAGAACCCAAGGATCTATATTGAACAATTTTATTCGATGCAAAGTATTTTTTTGAGCTTTAGAAGAAGAAAAAATACCATGGTTTTATGAAATACTTTGATTTTATAGTGGCACGTGAAGTGTTTGGATGCAAAAAACTTCATGGTTTTGAAACCATAGTATTGCTAAAACAATAGTCTTTTTGGAGTTTTATAAACTTCACTCTAGACTTTTTTTTTCAATAAACCATTATTTACAAATTTAGTTTCTTGATACTATGATTTGATACTACAGCATCTAGATAGGGTCTACAGCATCTGGATAGGGTCTGATAGCCTGCGCGCTGTGATTCTGGATTGTGATGTTCCAAGCATCTGTGCATTCTGCAGTTTCACTTTCTGAAGCCGTATTGGTAACGAGATCTTCGTATGTGCAGCTTCACCATGCAAATTGGAAGATTGCATATATCGTCTTTCACACCACCCAGATCGTTGGGCACCAATGGCCATATAGACTGCAGAATAAAACCGTTAGTCAGCACACCAATTTATAATTTAGTTTAATTGGGTTCTACATGAGGATTTGTGGTTACCATTCCTAACCAGAAGTTCAAGGATCAGATGAGATGAGCCTGTCGAGAATGTACTGTGTCGTAGAAGCAATTCTTACATGTAGTGTCAAATTCTGTCGAGAGTATTGTGTCATAGAAGCAATTCTTACATGTAGCGTCAAATTTTAAAAAGAATCCGGATTGAATGTTAATTTTGATGAAGCACATGCATTTGGCGTTAAATATAATACTCGAAATTTACAAGGAGTTTTAAGAGCGGCAAATAGCTGAAGACGTGAGATTTGGTCGAAGGGGCATCGCGCAATTTCAGTTTAACCACGATTACCGCTCGTTTCTATCTAACTACAAATTCTTGAAAAAAAATAGAATTTTACCCTTATAGCAGGTGGATTTCAACTAAATACTATCAAAGTTGTGAGCTTTGTTTAAAAGTTTTTAATGAAACGAATCCATCACACTACAATGTCATTTCTTAACCGCGACTACTGCTCCTTTCTATCTAACTCCAAGTTCTTGAAAAAAATTAGAATTTTGTCCTCACACGGTTCTGAGCTTCATTTAAAAGTTTTTAATGAAACAAGTCCATCACACTGTAATGTCATTTCTAAATTTAAGCACAGACAGTTGTGGGCTTCATTCATCCTCTCTCCTCTCTCGTTCTTCGACAGGGCCGGCTGCAGTGCCGCCCAGCCCTATAGCCCAGCTCTTGCGCCTCTCCTCCTTGCTCGACGGAGGCAAGTAGGCAACTCTGCGCCGCCCGCTCCAGTCTCCGACGTCGGGCCGCGCGCTCCGCCTCGGCTCGACGCCGAGCCGCACGGTCCGTTTCCTTGCCCGCACCGTTGCTGGAGAAGAGGAGGCGGGCGGAGAAGGAGAAGAGGAGGGGCCGTCGGCGGGGACTGGTGACGGGGCCCGCGGAGGGCGCCGGCGTGGGCCTTCTCCGCCTTCGCGCTGGGGAGGACGGGCGCTGGCGGGGTCGGCGACGAGGCGCCGGCAGGGTAAGGGGACAGGAGCTTCTTCAGTCACGGCGGATCTCGCGGGGCCGTGCGACGTCGCCCACCTTCTCTGGCGCCTGGCGCCGTTACGCTCCGCTCCACCTCCATTCCAGCGGCGCGCTCGCTCGTCTCCTCGCGGCCCTCATCACCCTCACCCCCTGTTTGCTTCTCCATTCGCAGCGGCATGGAGCGCCCGAAGAAGACCGCGGTGGCTGGCCTCCCCGACGACCTCCTGGTGGAGATCCTCTCCCGCCTCCCCATCAATGAGCTCCACCGATCCAAGTGCGTCTCCAAAGGCTGGCGCGACCTCATCGCGGATCCCCTCCACCACAAGAAGCTCCCCCCAACCCTCCATGGTTTTTTCCCTTCCTACGTGGGGGAGTTGGGATCTTTCATCAATCTGTCCGGGGGATCCGCGTCTCCCGTCGACCCTTCCTTCCCCTTCCTCAAGAAGCTGCCTGGCATCCACAACTTCTGGCTCAGGGCGTCCTGCAACGGGCTCCTCCTCTTTAGGCACAGCACCAGGCTTCGCGAGCTGGGCTATATTGTGTTCAACCCCGCCACAGAGCAGTGGGCGACCGTGCCCAGCCAGCATACTCTGGCTGATAGGCCTATTCGATTGAACCACACCTGTTTCGTGTTCAATCCGGCTGTCTCCCCCTACTTCCATTTGGTCATCATCAGCGCGCAGGAGGGGAGCCTTGCAACAGTGCAATCCTACTCCTCAGAAACAGGGGTGTGGAGGCACACCCAGATTGACTGGGCTCAGGAAGTATGGAGGCTAGACAATGGAATGCGCCTCAGATCAGGGGTGCGGCCCCATGTGCCACCATTTTCAACGGCATGCTGTATTTGATCTTGACTGATAATCAGATATTTGAGGTGGATGTGGAAGGAAGACAAAAAGGATCATCCGCGCCATCTTCTGTGGGTGGGGCGGGTTCATGGCTGCTTTCCGCTTTTCATTGGTCAATCCAAGGCGCCTATATTGCATCAATGAAGAACATTGGGCAGGTGGTATCCCATCTGAACTGTCCAGTCGTGTTTATAGAAGAGACTCCAATGATGATTCTAATCTACTGTCAATCTGGGCTCTTGAGGACTATGATACGCAAAAGTGGGCCCTTAAGCACAGTGTGAGCTGTTCACGTCTGTTTGGAATATCAGGTTTTCTTGGTTACAATGTGGTTGCCATTCATCCAGACAACAACAATTTGGTGTTCATTGTATATCGGAAACACCAGCTGAAATCATATGGCTTGAACAGCAAGGAAGTGCGGACCGTCGGCACATTTCAGGAATCCTTGCAGTTTCCTCCTTATGTTCCTTGCTTCTCAGACTTCTTATCGGTGGCACAACATGAAGAGAAGCTAGGGGTGGGCGAGTGAGATAAGCGTGAAGGACGTTGCCAGGGCAGGGGAGCGTGCAGTGGCCATTGTTGATCAGTCAGGACAGATAGCACGGAGGTGGGCAAGGCGAACCCTGTAGCAGCTGCTGAATTTCTGCAGTCGCAGCATGCACAAGCTTTTGTATTTGCTTATGAAATAGGCTATCTGCCTGTGACTTACTTGACCTGTCTAGGTTTGCAGACAATGTTTTTCCTATATATGGTGCTGCATTATATAGCTGACATATTGTTATCTTGTTTCTTGTGACGTCGTATCCAATTAATACTACAAACCACTTCTACTACTGCAAGAAAAAAACACTGGGAAGGGGGAGTGATTGGCTGTCTGTGAACTATGTGTTTCTTAATCTTCTCTCGGGCCTATGTTTATGCTGTAGTAATGAACTAAATGCAGCTTTCAGACAGTTTGCCAACAATGCATGCTATTGAAAGTTACCCTCAAAAGCCACCTACCATTTTGTGCAGCTGAACAATAGCTGCCGCCTCTGACCTCCCCATGTTGTAATGAGGATAGTTTGGACAGATCATTGCTTGGTTGTTAAGCTGGTTCTAGATGTGTTCTTTATAACCATTGTATTATATTATATTTATATGTAGCCGTTTTTTTTATAACAGCAATCAATAATTTAAACTTGTATTTGTTGCCTGTATAAGTTAGCTCTGTCCACAGTATGGCACTTGAGAACTTTTAAGGTGACTGATAGTTTGTTTTTATAATCTCCAAATTGTGCATCTTGTTCAGATAAAGTTGAATTAGATCTAAGCTAGGTAATTAGGACTTTTGAATCATGCATCTTGTTCAAATAAAGTTCAGGAAACAAATTTGTGAAGAGGAACCAGTGCATTTTCATGTGTTGTTGGAATGAACATGATGCTATCAATTATCAAATTTACAATTGCCGAGTCCATCTCAAGTTCAAAGCTACATGTGATACTATTCTAGCATGAACTTGTTAGCAATTAAATCCATGACGTCAACGCCTAGCTTATGAATTAAAGCTTTAGAAGGATAAAAAATTGTCTACTCTGTATCCTTCAATTTGCTTCCTTTCCCTCTTACAGAGGTGAGCTACTACTGTGTTGGAAGCTTACATGATAGATGGGCTACTGAGTCAGAGTCAGGATTCAGGAAGATCTTGCTTGTTTTGATTACTGGCTGCCATTTCTATAATCAGCATCGACCGAAAGCATTACTGGCTGTAGCTTAGACTAGGAAAATTCTTAAAACATCCACTGAATGCTGATGCATCTGCAAGAATGTGGATGATAAATGTTGATTGAGTCCAAGTTAAGTACTAGTAAATCCCTGCATCTATGTTTTTATTTGCCCTTGTCTACCTTCTTGACTCAATCCTCCATATGCTATATGCCATGATAAATATCTGCAATTTACCTCTGCCTGCTGTGATGATTGAATAAATTTCTTGACTCAAGTGTGTCATTCTGTGTATGCTTGATATGAGATTGAGTGCTTCTGCTTTTCTAGGGATGTCAGAAGACCAATGCTCCATAAGCGTTCTTTCATCGGTAGGGCAGGTTCCAAAGGTCCTCTGTCTGGAATGTCAGTGATTGGAATAGAATCTGGTGCACAAGATTTCTGAAAAATCCTCGTCAGTCTGAGTTAGCGTGGATCATGGATGAGCAGCACCTGGCTTTGTTTGTAAGTGGATAGAAGTACTGCTTATCCTGCTTTGTTGTACTACTGCAGATGTGTGAGTCTGTTTTTGTTACTAATAAAGCTTCCTTCATCTAAAAAAAAAAATCATCATGCACTATTTGTCGTTCCTTTTCCAAGAACTTGACCCCTTTTCTGTAGGATTCTGCTCGCTTGCATTGTCGCATATCTGTTTGTGTGTTCACCTCGAATCTAGAATACGGACTGGGCGATCATTTTCTATTGAAACATTAGCTGAGCCTTGCGTTCTGGATTGTGGTGTTCCCGAGCTGAGCTGTGCGTTCTACTTCTGCAGTTTCGTTTTCTGAAACCGTATTGGTAAGGAGATCTTGGGATGTGAGTTTCATGAAGATTGCATGTCTCGTGCTTGACACCACCCAGATCGTTGGGCACCAATTTGCCATGTAGACTGCAGAATAAAACCGTTAGGCAGCAGACCGATTTATATAGTTTAGTTTAATTGGGTTCTGCATGAGGATTTGTGGTCACCCTTCACCAACCAGAAGTTCAAGGACCAGATGAGACGAGCCTGTCGAAAATGTACTGGGTGCCCTAGAAGCAATTCTTACGTGTAGCGTCAAATTTCAAGAGGAATCTGGATTGAATGTTTTTTTTAATGAAGCCCATATGTTTGGTGTTAATTAAATAGTCGAAATTTACCAGGAGTTAAAAGAGTGCCAAATGGCTGAAGAAGAGTGAAGACGCGAGAAATTTGGCCCAAGGGCGGCAAAGGGGCATCGCGCAATATTTAACCGCGACTGTCGGAAATGTCGTAGAAGCAATTTCTTTCCCCATCTCCATGTTTCTCCAAAAATAATAATAATATAAAAAACCCTTGGTTGCGGATCAGAAAAAAAAATCCCCAAACCCTACCAACAGACAAGCTCGGGCTCGGCGATCCCCCCAATCGTCTGCGGCGTCCGGCGGGCCCGTACGCTCCGCGCTTGGCCCTCTCTCTGGCGAGCGGCATGGACCGCGCGAAGAGGAGGAGCGCGGTCGCCGGCCTCCCCGACGACATCCTCGTGGAGATCCTCTCGCGGGTTTCCGTCAAGGACCTCCACAGATCCAAGTGCGTGTCCAAAGCGTGGTGTGGCCTCGTCACCGACACCCTCCACCGCAAGGAGCTCCCACAAACCCTACATGGGTTCTTCTACGGCGGCGGGGGATACGGTGGTGACACCGGCAGCGATGACGAAGACGGAGACAGCGACAGCGACAGGGACGACGGCGAGGACGGGGAAACGCGGATTTGCTACGCAGGTGCGTACGTACGCACGTCAACGGATGGTGTGGATGAGGGGGCATGCATCCAGATTCGGAAACTCAATGAAGGAACTTTTGCCAGGCTGGCGCCCTTTGAAGGGCATGAATGATCCGACGTGGCAACGAACGAGTGAGCGCTAAACGGAGAGGGTGCATGGTTCAAATTTTCGAAAAGGGCGCTTCCTGTAGAGCACGGAAACATGGCTGGGAGAGGATATAATGGCATGCTAGAGGCCCTGAGAGTTCTTCGCGCATGGGTGGGTGAGGAGCAAACTGCATCTATTCTTCAGCGAGGGGAGAGACGGGAAATGGAGGTGTCTGGCGAGGGAGAAGCAGCAGGCGGAGCTGCACCAGGAGAGTCGGAGGAAAGAGGATCGGCAATGCGTCCAGATCCAGGAAGAGATCGAGGAATGAGCACCGGGAAACGAGGATGGTGGCAAAAATGGAGACAAAGGTGCGGCGGCAATCAAGGGATCCTGACCATCGGGTACCTATGCGACCTCATACGGGAAATACAAAAGGTATGCACAGAACTACACTAGGAGCAGAGTCGATCTGGCCTTCTTCAGTTCTTATCAAGGTTTCACCTTTAGTTGTACTTATTAAAAGGGAGATAGCGGCTGGGAAACATATAAGCTAGGATCGGCCACCCCCATGAAAATTTCAAAGGAAGAATTATAGGATCTGCCGCTCCTGGAGTATCTGTCGGAGTTTTTTTTTTTTTTTTTGAGGGGAGTATCTGTCGGAGGTTGAAGACGACTTAGACGTCTTGGGCCATCCTGTGTGGTTCAGCCCATATTGAAAAGCTACAGACCACAAGCCCAATAAGAATAGGACCGGCCTTACTCACGTTTCTCGCTATTCTCGATTTCTGACTTCTCTGTCCGTCTCTCTCTCTAGCTAATTCACGAACTCGCGCGCGGGGTGCGAGCAGCGGGCTGGACTGGCGGAGGGTTAGCGGCGCATAGCGCCTAGGGCTTAGCGGCGGCAGCGACGTGGTCCGGCCGATGGCTGGTGGAGCCGAAGAGCAGCGCCGGACTACAGATGTTGGGCGAGGCCAAGACCCGAGCGACCGAGTGCGCCACCACGCACGGGCGGCGAGGCGGCGTTGCGGGCCAGCAGCCAGCCCGACAGGCGGCAGCCCCAGCCGATAGGGCAGCCACCAGCTAGAGGGCAGGCCAGAGCCAGCCGCGCCCTGCTAGCTTGAGGTATTTTTCTGTTTTTTTTTCCTTTTTCACATAATTAATTGTTAAAAAATTGATTAAGGATGAATCATCGATTGATTTGGTGAAGTTAGTTTAGTACTATTAGTATTAGTATGTATGGCTTCTTTTAATTTAAGGAACAACTTCTCTGATTTTGATGTGGAGAAGATTGTGAGACTAGCTGATATATATGCTGATAACTTTAACATTGGTAAAATTAATGTGTTGCCAAAGCAACTTATGTTGTCGTTGGCTGGCCAAAATTGTATAGCATAAGGGGGTGTTTGGTTCAGCTAGGAGCTCCTAAATCTAGTCTCATTTAGTCACTTTTTACCCAAACACTATGACTAAATAGGATTAAAAGGGCTTTAGTCCTCTCTAGCAACTCTGGAGTGACTAAATGGGACTAAACCATATAGGAGGGACTAAATTTAGCAGCTGCATTCCAAACAGGGCCTAAGTCTGCCCTATGTCATTTGTCAGGATGGATTCGCCGTAGAGCTAATAGCGGAAATTAACACATCATATCGGCCAAATGTGCTTAACTAGCATAGTTTTTTACTCTTTTTTTTAGGGGAGCTTAACTAGCATAGCTAAGTGCCCACTGACTCATTGGGCCGAATGCCAGAAGTCAGTCCAGGTACACAACCCTATCTGTTTCCCACTACTCTCGAGCTCACGTGGCGGCAGCGACTAGTGGCGGCCGGCGGCAGCTGCAACCAGCGGCCTGCGACTTGTCGAACCTGAAGTCCAGGTGCAGGTCGTAGCCTCGCAGGCCAGGCCTCCAGGGGAACCACCTCGAGCGAGCTGACGAGGATGGCCATCCAGTCTTTGCTCATGACTGTCCCGCCTACTTCTGTGGTGCAAGCTTTCTTTAGCTGATTTATTGCAATGTAGTCAAACCTGTATAGCTCTGTTAGCTGATTTTTTTTTTTACTTTTTTAGAGCTTCACATAATCTAAACAATGATGAATAGGTGATGTTTCCTAATTTTTGTCAAGTTTATGTGCATATTTCACTTATTTGTACCATATTCTTCCCAAAACCGCTAACTCCAAATAGAGGATAACCGGCAATAACGTATCATAGTTGCAGGAAAACAGACGCGAAATGGATTAGCCGGAGATTTAGAACATTGCTTTCTTATGCATGTGTGATTATGAAATATGTAGAGTGGGTGCCAGGCGAATAGCTGTTGACTGTCTCTGCATGTTCATTGGATTCTAAAATCGAATGAGGTCATTAAGATTGGAAAGTTGACTAATCATCCATTAGCACTGGGCTTAACCTGGCTAAACATCATGCATATTCAATTCTAGATACAGTGCCCTTACAAACATGCAACAAGTATTTGCTGATAACTTAAATCATATAATTTTTTATTGTTCCTGCAATAATACTGGACGCATGGCTTGTTACCATATGCATCTTCTGACTGAAAATGGGATATTTTACCAGGAAGCGGGGGAAAGAAGGGCCGGACTCGCGGATAGCACCCATGGGAGAAAGTGCAATATCCAGAGCACTGAGAACTGCAGGAAACCGAGAGGGCCAGCCAGTTTTCTTACCGTACGAGGGGCTTGAGTTCAACTCATGCGAGGAAGCTAAGGAATTCTACAACCTTTACTCATGGGAGGTTGGATTTGGAATTAGAAAGGGTGGCAGCAGGAAAAATGGAAACAAGTACATAACTAGACAAGATCTAGTCTGTTCATGCGAGGTATGTGCACAATGGTAGTAAATATGCTTCAATTGTCTCATGGAATCGCCAAATTATACATGATGCATTGTCCAGAAAATTATACATGACACACTGTCCAGAAAACTGTATGATGCACTGTCCAGAAAATTATACATGACATGCTGCTATTTCTAAAGTAATGTTTGTTCTGAAATTCATCCTTTTTATAATCCACTTTCCTATGCCTGTGTGATGCATACCTGTGATGGTTTATTTGTTTACTGATTTCTTTAGTGTCTGAATTTTAGTGCTTTCAGTGGTTTATTTTAGTGTCATCCCGTGATTGGAATTTACTACAATTAATTTCCCTTACCTCAGAGCAGCAGCAGCTATGCTGTACATTTATATCGTTTCTTGGACTGTTACTTAAGCATGTTTAGGGGGAGATACAACTTTCTACGTTAAGCTCATCAACAATTTTCGAACTGCTGACATGTATGTTACATTACATAATCTTGGGAATTTGAGTCGATGTATTCATTTACGTAGGAACACATGTACTTGTGATGACCATATTAAGCTGCTGCTGCTCCGATGTAAGGGAAATTTTCCAGATTATTGTGTTTGTAACATGCTGTTGCTTCTATTGTTTGTAAAATTTGGTACAAGCAAGTTAAATTTGTATCCTGCAGCTGTTGGTACTTATTTTTTCAGATGAACAGTAGCTGCAGGTGCGCTTGATACAGTAGCAATCAATCTTTGTTGTGTTGAGTGTACTTATGCTCAATGTAAGTATTATATGAATCCACAGGGTTGGTCAAGGAGTAAGAAGTCGGCCACATGTAGAACAGGATGCAAGAGGCTACTTCGGACAAGCGACCATGGGTGGTACATAAGCCGACTAAACATTGAACACAATCATCCCTGCTCGGAGACGTACGGAGAGAAGAAGCAATGGAACTCACACTCCGAAATTGACCCCATGACGAAGGACTTCATCCAGAAGCTGCGTGAGAACAACGTCCCAATCGGCAGAGTGTGCAGCATCGTAGGCGTGTATGGTAACCAACCGGGAGCACCGATAAGGAGGGAATCAGTCAGATCTCTGTGTGCAAGATTAGCACAAGAAAACATAAGAGATGATATAGGTAAGACAATGAAGTTGCTTGAGGAGATGCGTCACGATGATCCTGGAATGGATGTAAGGTTCTTGATTGACCAAGATGGGAGGATAAAATCAGTGCTATGGTGCACTGGGAAGAACAGAAGTGACTATTTGCATTTTGGAGATGTGGTAACTTTTGACACCACATATCGGACGAATCTTTACAGCCTACCATTTGGCATGTTTGTTGGTGTTAATAACCATTTCCAATCAGTAATATTTGGTGGACTATCGCTGACGTCGGAGAAGACAGAGGATTTCGAATGGGCATTCAACAATTTCACTGATATAATTTGGGGGGGGTTGGAGCAGCCGCTTACAATGCTAACAGGTAAATTAATATTCATCTATTGAGCATGTAGGTTCAGAAACTGATCTCGATAAACCCAAGCTCTGACACACTAACTTTAAAACTGCATGTTCGCCACAAAATGCAGACCAATGTCAGGCCATGGCTGCAGCCCTCAAGACAACAATGAAGGGAACAAAGCACCGGTGGTGCCGCTGGCATGTCCTGAGGAAACTGAAGCAGCATGTGGGGAACCTTTACAGCAAACACAGTGCCTTCAAGAAGGAATTCAATAAGTTGGTGACAGAGGAGACATCGGTTCAAAGATTTGAAAGGAAATGGAGGCAGCTGCTGCGGAAGTACAACCTTATGGAGAACAAGTTCATGAAGAGGCTGTACAAGAAAAGGGGAATGTGGGCAAAACCGTACTTCATGGACATATTCTGCGCAGGTATGACAAGTACTCAAAGGAGTGAGAGTGCTAACCACATGATTAAGCGATTCATTCAGAGATCTGCGCCAATGCACATGTTTGTGAGAAAATTTAGTGAGTTCCAAACCGATAGACAGGACCAAGAAGACAAGGAGATCCATGTAACAAAACAGGTACATATTAGCATCATCAAATCAGTGAAACATGTCCACCTTATCCATTAACTTTAAACTGTAGGTGCTGAATCTGTTTTGTTGCATCTATGTCATGTGTCAGATGCGAAGGAGGACACGCGTGGGTGTGCCAATTGAGAGGGATGCTGAGCAAATATATACAAGGTGGATGTACGAAAAGTTCTACCATGAACTGTTTGAATCGGGAGGGTTCATCATAAAACATAGGGGTGAGGATGGTTTGTACGAGGTGGTGCACACACTGGAAGATGGCAATATGGAAGCGCGGAGATATAAAGTGCGCTACCATGGAGGTGATGAAATCTCATGCGAATGCGGACTGTATGAACACATGGGTATGCTTTGTAGGCACTCACTGAAGGTATGACAATCCCATCCTTCCTAGACTGCTAAGTCTTCCTCTATTAAATGTCAAGTAACCACCAAATCGTATGATGTAGGTACTTGTGAACCTTGACATTAAGAGTATACCGCGTGCCAACATCATGGCACGTTGGAGTAAATGTGGAAGTGGGGGGCATGGTGAAACATCAGCATGGAGGGATCACATATCTACGAAAGAGACGACAAATTTTGTCAAGAAGAGGATGTTGTTGAAGAAAATGGAGGAGGTAGCATATGGGACAAGTAATATCAGCGACGGCGCTTTTACTGAGGCGATGGGGGCACTAGAAGCAATATCAGCAACGGAAACTGCGGTTACACAGATATGCCATAGGGCAAATCAGGATATGGGGATGATTATGGCCCTATTTCATGTCCAGCGCGGCAGACAAAGAAAGGGAGAGCACAGAACACAAGCCTTCACTCATTTGAACAGCAGCTGAAAAGGAATAAGGCAGTTGCCACAGATACTGATGAAGAAAACCCAAGAGGAGGCAAGACGAGGGCTATAGCTGAGTTCATGGGAGTGTAGCAAAATATGTGTTGTGCGCAGGCTAAGGGCTGAAAGAAAAAATTGGACCAAATTGTCACCGCCTATCAACCTATAGAACTCTTCAGATTTCAATTTCAACATTTCTCAGTCCATACGTGCGTCGAGTAATTCCTAGAGTTACCTTCAGTGTTTCTGTCATATGTAAGTGTCTTATGTATTCGTCATATGTTGTGTGCGCGTGTGTGTGCAGTGCTTGCTAGGATTTAAGAAACTGAACATGCAACTGGCGCTGAGGGTGCCTTCAGTACCCTTTGCAAATGTAGGTGCCAGGCTTCCAGGACTGTGTCAGTATTGTGTCGTGGGCTTGTATCACTTAGTATATGTGACCTGGTGTTGTCTGTTCATTTAATCTTTTAGTTTAAAATCTTCATATGGTCTTTGAAGCATAGTTTCTGAACTACTGCTTGTGGCTACAACTTCTTGTTTGATATCATAGTTTGTTTTTTGTTACTCTTTTGAACTGTGATATTTGTGGTCTTTAGCGATGCTTTACATTGGTTGATGCTTCCTTGTATGTTTGCATCTTTATTAACTAATAGTTGTTTTTGCTTCATATCCCAATTTTTGTACTCTACCGGAATGATGGGAGAATATTGCTACTAGAGATGTCGTAGATATAATATATATTGATTCTTTATGGGCCTTTTTTCACAAGTGATGTGAACTTCAGAGAATATTAGGGAACATGCAGAATATTAATTTCATTGCTGATTTGTTGTGAGAGAAAAATATTATTCGTTGGCTGAAAAAATACGGCTTATAAGTCAAACGAACAGGACGATAATCATTTTTTTCAGAAGCATCTCATAAAGTGGTACACCCACAGCAGACGGTAGGTGCCACCTGTTTCAGAACTCAGCACTAATCAAAGGAGAGGCACTAAAAGAGCAACTTAATTTACATTTGTTGTGTGCTTGCGGCAGCAGATACAAGTTTATGTACGCACTAAATAAGTACGAAGTCTCGTAAGTGACAGGATCTTCCACCGATGAGCTGCAGAATAGAGTCTCCCTCGTGCTGGTCCCAGTGGTTGAATTCACTCTGGTTGAGAAACGAAGAGATCTGCAAATACATAGACGTCTAGAGTCTAGACTGAGTGCCTGTTTAGCTCCCAAAATTTTGCAAAATTTTTCAAGATTTCCTGTCACATTGAATCTTTGGACGCATACATGAAGCATTAAATATAAATAAAAAATAAAACTAATTACACAGTTTAGACGAAATTCACGAGACGAATCTTTTAAGCCTAATTAGACTATGATTGGATACTAATTGCCAAATAACAACGAAAGTGCTACAGTACCATTTCCCAAAAAAAATCGCCAACTAAACAAGTCCTGAATGATTTTGCCGAATTATTCCCAGTGATTGTCTGCAAGCGGGACATCTATAAAATCTGCAGGTTGAAAAAATGATGCATGATGACAATAGAGTTATTCCCAGTGATTGGCAGCATTGTTCTCCTGGCCGGACGTCGCCGTGACCGCTGCGTCCATGTCTGAGCATGCGACCGCGCGAGAACGAGGTCTGGCAGCCGTGTCCGCGTCGTAGAGAAGGCCAGTGATGTGCAAGTACCACGGCAGATGGTAAAGACGATTGGCCTCGGTCACTGGGAGGTGCCTCTATCGCGTCTGTGCGCCACAGCCGGCGTCTGCACTGAGAGCAGCATCAGCACACAACAGAGTGAGCAGCTCCTGTCAAGATTATTTCTATTTTCAATGAAGAGCTATTATATTTGTAGGAACTATCAATAATATTTTCTTGCAACAGAGTATTGACTAACCCAAAAAAGAGCTTTGATCTGAAAGACAGACTTAGATTAATGGAATGACTGAATCTTCCAGCTGCTTATCCATTTTTATGATGATAATCCTGGGACATACTTGCTTGTTGTATGGTTGCATCATACTTAAGGATGAAAACGGAACGGAAATATCCCGAACCGAACCGCATCATTTTTTATATTTAATCCGATCGAATCCGCATTTTTTTGTCCGACTTTACCGTTTTCGCTTTCGCATTTGAGATGTTTCGTATTTCAAATGTAAAAGTAGAAAACGGTTTACACATTTTTCGACCGTTTTCTACTTTTCTACTTTTAATTTGAAATATTCTGAATTCAAAAATCGGTTTAAACCGAATTTGGCCAACTGCACAGGTCATACAGCCCAATTACAGGCTGCTCACCATGCAGGTACGTTCTTTTCTACTGGTGGCTAGCTGCCCTCTCTTATAGACGGCGCCCAGCCTCATCTCTCTTATTATGTATTTGGTCGTCCACTTGTTTAATGCTATGCATTTGAACTAGATCATGCACTTGTTAGTTGTGAACTTGTTATGTATTTGATCGTGCACTTGTTTAATGCTATGTACTGTGGGTCGGTATTTCGTATTGAATTTTCGCATACCGACCGTGTTCGACATAATTCCGCTCAAATTGGTTCGTTTCCGAAATTTTAGATATTCCGTAAGTTCGTTTTCGTTTTCGTGTCCAGCTTGTCCGCTTTCGTTTTCGCTTTCGTATTTCAAATGTAAAAGTAGAAAACGGTTGAGGAGTTTTTCGACCGAGTTCGACCGTTTTCATCCTTAATCATACTACTACAAGGAAGGACCAGATGAATCTATACTTACTATGTTCTCATGGTAAACACCAATAACAGCATGAGGCACGCTTGCTGGATTCAATAGAGGACCGAGGATATTGAAACTGTCTTTATTTTAAACTTCCTCCTCACAGGTCTGACAATTTTCATTGCAGGATGATAATTTGCAGACATCATGAAACCAACACCCACCTCATTGACACATTGTTTAATACCCTTGCAATAAGAAAGAGTAGCAATGTTAAGCTATTAGTCTCACCTGGCAGCTAATGCTAAGATTGAAATACATCACATGAAGGTTAGTCAAGGACACTGGACAGATAGCTGTTTTTTAGGGGCCAACGGATACAGTATTATAATCATAGTAGATTCATGCACTCAAGAGCACAACAAGGTTGGAGGGATTGCCTATGCCATCGAACCATATAGTGCACAAAGTACGGATACTGAACATAGCCTATTTAAACCGAGTGTGAACAATTTAAACTATCCCTCCATTATTAGAATCAATCGTAGGCATAGTTGAATGTCCTGTATGTTGTAGTTAACCACTCAAGAGTATAGTTCAAAAGTTTGACAAACAAAAATGTTATTAGAGGCCGAGAACCTTATTTTCACTTAACAGTACATTCTGGAAATAGATCATATAATAGAAATAAACTCATAAGTGGGGAGCATGTCCTAGACATGAGCCTACATGTGTCAAGCATATTGTCAAACTTCAGAGATAAGTAATCAAATGAGCAGCCAGTTTGAAAAACTGAAACATCAAGAAAGCTCACCTGACAATTGAACATACAGCCATCTAAGGAACAGCAGGAACATCTGTGGTCTGTGGATAAGTATTCTCCTGATCTATGAATTGCATTTGAACATAAGAATAGGTGAAACTCCATCCATAAATGTTGAGATATGTGGAAATAAATTCGTAAGCATGAAGCACCTTTCAGCATCATGATGTGACTGCTTAAATGACACAAGTTTACTAGTACACGGAATCATTGGTTTGACTATATAATCTTGCATTGTAATCCACACACAATAATTGGATACTAACACTTCACGTGTCTCCTTTGCAATAATAAGCATGTTGTGGAAATAAAATTGACAGGCCCCAATATTCATATCAATCATCCTATAGCCATGACACAGCATATTTCTTTTGACAAAGGAGCAGCTCCTAGGTGCTTCACTAGGATAGTCAGATCTGAAGTTTAATTTTCCATACTTTATGGTAACTTGGTAAGAGGCCTCGGCAATGTTGCCCTGGTAGTTTAAAGGTACTAGTAGGACCCTGACAAATGGAAATGTCGGAGGACACTCGAAAACGATGCACTTGTGATCCATCCTGGGAAGTCACAGTCCCATTTCTGGGGGCACCGAGGGGAGCTGCCATCGTGGTACAGGGGTAGTAGAATACTGTAAGCGGAATCTGGAAATTGATGAATATGGTATTCGTAATTCCAACCCACTCATATGATATTCCCCATTTGAGAAGAGCTCCACAATTTAGAGCCATCTTTGCTACGAATAAATTTGCTAAGCACAAATTCAGAACTAGAGCTGTCTTAACCAATCGTGAATAACTGCCCCAAAAACACCAGAGCAAATTAAACTGCCCCAAAAACACAGGGTGAAACTCAGGATCTTAGGTTCATGCAATGGGCTTCTCCTCTTTGGGCACGACATCGATTTGGATAGCATGGGGTTTATCGTGTGCAACCCCGCCACTGAGCAATGGGCTGCTGTGCCCTGCAGACAGGGCCGGCCTCCGACGGATTGGCATCTTCGAGCAAGCCAAACCTATTTGGTCTTCGACCCGGCTATCTCTTCCCATTTTCATCTGGTCATGTTCCGGCAGGAGGATCGGAGACCAACTGTGCACGCCTACCACTCTAAAACTGGGGCATGGAGTCACAGCGACATTGACTGGACTGAAGAAGAAAGGAAAAGATCGCACCTTGACCTCTGTTACCTTCAGGCTTCCGATGCGGCCGTTGTTAATGGCATGCCCTATTTGATCCTCGAGGAAAATCAGATTTTTCAGGTGGATTTCGAAGGGAAGACACGTGGGGTCATCCCAGCTCCATCGTCAATTGTTCAGCGGAATCTTGATTACAATGCAATTTTCGTTGGTCAATCCCAAGGGCGCCTGCATTGCGTCAATGAGGAGTGGGGTGCTGATGATTTCCCCTCTGAACTGTCCAGTCGTGTTCATATTGGAGACGCCGATGATTACGCTCTACTGTCTGGGTTCTTGATGACAATGGTACACAGCAATGGGTCCTTAAGCATAGTGTCAGCCTTTTGCATTTGTTCGGGAAGCATGGCGAGTCCGGCACTGAATACAGTGTAGTTGCCATTCATCCAGACAGA